GCTCTCTCTCTTTCTCTCTCCCTCTCCCTCTCCTCTCTCTATCCTCTCTCTCTCGCTCTCTCTCTTTCTCTCTCTGTATTATATATAAGAAATATATACGCCCGCGTTGAATACGCATGTCGTTTTAACAATGCGCCATAATGTTTGTGTAGTGTAACGGTAATGATTCCGTGCAGATCACAGCCCGCAGTAATGCAGCTATAGTTCATTGACAATAGATTGATTGTCGTCACACGCAACTGATCACTCGGCTAGGCGCAAACTATGAAACGTTTAAGCACTTTATTTCTGGAAATTGTTAGTTGACGTTGAATTCTATTAGCTAACCGCGACCTGCTTAGCGTGGCAGTGCAGTGAATAACCCTATAGCGACGTCAATCGATGTCACAATTCACCCCCGCTGTTGTTGTTGCGCTTAACAAACACGCGAAGACGTGTTCCGACAAGATCAGAGAAAATACCATTGATCAAAGAACTACTCTCAAACGACTTTTCCCCGGGTACACTGACGTCATCACGTTCTGTGTACGTAAGTATCGACACCGCGTGTATGTTGACCATGATAAAATCGCCGAACAACGCTTAACGTTAGCATGCTATATATATATATATATATATAATGGCGGCAGAGTCGGCGAGTCGACGCTATCCCGTCTGTTTTTCCGTCCGTTTAGAGCTGCAGGGCTCCTTCACTGTCATTCCCCAAGATTACGCAATGCATGATCCATCAGAGACCAGACAGGAAATTGTCGCAGGCAATTAAATATTATGCGCCGCGGTGCAGAACACGGTGATCAAATTTGGTTAATTATTTTTATGTAAGCTATACCCTTTTTTACTCGTCTTTTGCAAGATGAGGATATGCCCTATACAGTCAATCCATACAGATGAATCCTGCTCGAAAGAACTAATTAATTCATCCTACAGCTGCATATGCGTACACATATGCACATATACACACGCACGCACGCACGCACACACACACACACACACACACACACACACACACACACACACACACACACACACACACACACACACACACACACACACACACACACACACACACACACACACACACACACACTACTACTACTACTACNAGGGAGAGAGAGAAAGAGACAAAGACGGAGGAGGTGGGTGGAGTGAGAAAGACAGACAGAGAGACAGAGAGCGAGAGATCATAAATGACTTGCGATATATATCTTGCTACGACCTACCGTGTGGATGTATCCTTCGCCAGAGCGACAGGAGGTGTGAGTAAGCTTGCTGGGGTTAGAAAGGCCTTAGGCGGCAAGTAGCACCTATAAACAACAACGCAATTCACACATAAAAGGACTCATTGATCTGCGTTAAATAACCTTGTCGATTCGCTTCTCATACTGAGTTAGCCGCACACGTAAACGCCATCAAGCAGCATATAAATTTCCAAATTAATATTAAATTTGGCAAGTGTCGTTTCTACTTTTTCTCTATTATTATTATATCAATGTAGCGTAAACCCTAATTCGAAAGACTAGTTAGCAGAGTATATATATATATATATATATATATATANCATGCGTCATTTTACTTACGTGTGCGGCGGATTTTCGTTGAGTAATTTGACTCATGCGTCATTTTACTTGAGTAAAATAACTCACGTGTGCGGCGGGCTTAAGGAAGAGTTTGGGCTTGTTTGTGATTGGTGGACAGTTTGCATATAAATAGACAGTTGAAGAGAGATCGGGGGTGAATTGGAGTCTGGTATTCGATTAGCGTGTACCGTGTAGAGAACCTGTATTAGTTGTAAACAATATATTCACAAATATAACACAAAATTTATACTTCGTCTTTGATTATTTTACTCTCAATTATTTCATTCAAATCTTGGTGTAACTTCTACGCTACACATACATACATACATACATACATACATACGCACGCACGCACGCACGCACGCACGCACGCACGCACGCACGCACGCACGCACACACACATACATACATACATACATACATACATACATACATACATACATACAAATACGTATACGTATATATATAGATACACGCTATATTCGTATATTTCGATAGAAATGGACGTTTTTGATTTGAATTGTCCCATTGTATTGTGATTTTTGTAATGACGGTGGAAAAACTAAAATCGCGTTCTCATATGAACAGGACGGTGTTACGAGACCAGCAATCGAATCGATTCCTAACCAACCATCGAGCAATAATTATTGCCAGGATAGGAGTTTAGTTATACTCTTATCATATACGTATATACAGGAAAATGATACAACGAACAAAAATATAAAGCACTATTAGCTTTGACAAACTACTTCGCGCCAAACAGTAACCTGCACACGCATCCTTATAGTTCCACAGAGAAATATATATGATAAATTTCAAACTTCTATCACCATTTATTTAAACAAACAACAACAACCATTGGCTTGAATTTATCAAAAATGCAAGATATAATATTGAAATAAAATAATTTCACGGGAAGTAAATTGATACATCGTAATAAATGCAAACAAGTAGATTAACGATGTCGTCGCAGATAACGCTCACGATACAAAAGGTTATATCGCACGTGATTTATCGATAGCTCCATAGATACCTATATACACAACCAGAGAGACATGATGCAAGATTGCGTGGCACAGCTTTGCTGTTGATCCTGAGCGCTGCGCGCGGATGAGACGTGCAGTTCCGCGGGATATGCGCACGCGACAGCGAGGATGTTCAAGTATGAAGCGCTGTCCGCAGTGGAGACGTGCGCCAAATTCGAGGCCCGGCGCACGTCTCCACAGCGGTCAGCGGATGGTCTGTAGTTTTAGAAGATAACAATAAAGACTTTGTTCTAAATAAGAACTATCGGCGGCTAAATAAGAGCAATATACAGACCTTTGAATTTCTTGACTATTCAGTCAAAGGGCTTGTTGGGGGTCCATTATGCAGAGCTTCCAATTAAAATGGCCCATAAAATTGTCAAGTGGAATTGTGTTTTTTGGAACCCCAAAGAAAATGTCGCCCTCTTACATGCACCCTCTCCTTGATCAATCACGCATTCAGGCGTACACAATAACATAGATAAAATTGTGTTTAGTTTATGGCTCTTGACGCACGTGCATTGACGTACAAGACTGATGAAAGCACAAGCACTTGGAACGTCTCAATAAAAATTAATCTTCACACAATTTTTCACAATGATCGACCGCCTGTGTCCAAAATAGGTGAACGTATGTGAAACATATACGGTTAGTACTTACTGTGACATATCCGTGACTAACTGACACCACTCAATTGGTAAAATGTTCCATGCACCTTAAGAAATGCTTATAATTTAATAAGTTATTATGTAAAATTAATTAATATAATTAAGGTAAAATATTACCTTAACAAGCAGTAAATAATCGCGATTAACCGGTTGCAAAGATTGTTGATTATTATTAAAACAAAATAATTTAGGATCGAACTTACTATTTCGATTTCGAAGTTCCTATGGTTTACGATAGCTGGCGGCTTCTTTTTCTTCTTCACCTTCTTTACGGGTTTCTTCGTAGCGTCTGGAGGACGGCAGCACAAGTCAATATGTGTTTCACATAAATTCATGAACGTGAAACTCGAATAAATGAACGTAATATAATAATTATATTTTTCCGACAACTTGTCGTGGAATACATAGGCAGTCATTAGTAGCAATTATTAATTTATTACTAGTCACAGTACGTATAAGTAGCCCTAATGGTTATGTTTGAAAATCTATATCGACATGACGTCACGCAAATATTCCTGATTTGCTCACCTTTGTCAGTGGTGCCACTACTAGTGAGGCTCGAAAGACTGTTGATGTAAAATATGATAATTATTTTCCTTCCAGGTATAGGACCGGGACACTGCTTTTGATTACTGCTATAAATCTCACACAAGCTAAATATCATCGCAAACAGGGCTAATCAGTAGCGCAAGTGCCCAATGAAATAGATGATATGCCTGCAGTAATGCTCATAGGGTCTATGTGCCCCAGGGTACTGCCGGAACGTATCCTGGGTACGGTCTGGTATACCGGAACGTACCCTGGTAACTATCGGATATGGTTAGGGTTAGGGTTAAGGTTAGAGTTAGGGTTAGGGTTAGGGTTAGAGTTAGGGTTAGGGTTAGAGTTAGGGTTAGGGTTAAGGTTAGAGTTAGGGTTAGGGTTAGGGTTAGGGTTAGGGTTAGGGTTAAGGTTAGAGTTAGGGTTAGGGTTAGGGTTAGAGTTAGGGTTAGGGTTAGAGTTAGGGAGTAGGCGTAAGCGACTCCCTAGACTCGTTAGTGGAGTAGGCGAGGTACGGTCCGGCATATTAGTTAGTACCAGGGTACGTTCCGGTATACCGGACCGTACCCAGAGTACGTTCCGGCAGTACCCAGAGAGACATAGACCCTCTCAGCAGTAATAATAGGCACTTGGGGTCAGTGCTATTCCTTAAATGAATAGCACTAGTATACGATGATCGCTATTATTTAGTTTAGAACAGTCGCTGCGTATAATTAGCACGTGTAAATGATATCAACATAATCCACGTACGCGATGGACGATCTTCTTCTCTCAAGCGATTTCTTCTTTTTCTTCTTTTTCCTTTTCTTCTTCTTTTTCTTCGACTCTGCATCTTCGACTTTCTCTCCCTCCACTTGCTGCCCCTCCAACACCTCAACCTTTCCCGCCTCCTAGATTGCGATACAATTTCCCCAGACAGAAACGAATTGTGATTAATTTATTTGGTAATCAACGTTATGCGCAATATTATAAACGTGGCAAGGCTGTCAGGATCAGAGCGCTTCTATATCTAGTAAATCCATTAACGTATCTAATCTAAGAAAGAAATTATCTATTATTATTATTATTATTATTATTATTATTATTGCTAGTTCGAGCACCGAGTTTGTCTTGCAACACTACCGTTGGCATTTCAGTGGGATCATCGGTCTGTACTACGAGAGGAGTGACACGACGGGGCTTCCTAGGTGAATGCCTCTCAAACCACCCGTCATCCTATAGAAAGCAAAAACATATCACGCTTGTCGCATGCACGCACATGACCATAGAAAAGCATATGGAGACAACTAGTATATTTGCCTAACTGGTAACTGTATGGTATATTATTTCCGTGCAGGTGATTGGCAGAAAATCGGCCATCTTTTTCTGACTAAAAACATAACGTAATTGTAATAATTGTAATTATTTAGAATTTTCCGTACGCAAGTTATTATAGTTTAACTATATGAGTATCCTATATATTTTAGGCGCGGCAGCGTCCACGTCAGTTGCCATGGCGACAGGTTGCTTACCGGATCCTCCCAGCTATCTTCACTCGAGTCCGAATAGTATTTTTCTTCAGGTTGGTATATTTGTTCTTGTTCGGCCACTTGCCTTCGCCGTTCTTCTGCTCGCGCCTCCGCCTTTTGCTGCTGCTCGGCTAGTAGCTGCTGTTTCTCTATCTCACGCACGATGTCTAGTTCTTCTAACTCTCGCGAGATTATTTCCTCCAATTTGATGCACGTTTCTTCATCCAGTTTCAACGAGTCCACGTCCGGGAGTTCGGCTATCGCTATTTCTTCACCTGTATATATTATCAGGAGTGAATAATAATATAATCTATATAATAATCTATTAGATATCTATAGAATAATATAAAATCTATTATTATTATTCACTCCTGATATTATCATAGGCAATGTGTAGTAAAGTACCCCATAGGTCAATAAATTCTGTGACGCTGTTCGCGTCACATCGTTGTGCAGCTAGAATGTTATTGTAATGTTAAAAGCCCGACAATGTAATCTATAAGACGGATTTATATAGTGCGCTAAGAGCTAATAATACCTTTATACAAGTATAGTTATCACTTGATTACGTTTCTTATTTCAATTGCTTCTCCGCAACACACGATCTCAGCGCACACACGCCGCTGTGCACAAAGTAAAAATATAGAGATAAAAAATGTTATACTACAAGAATAGAGTCGACAAAAATGATTCTCTATTTTTTGTATACAGCGGTGTTCATGCGGTGAACTTGTGTGTTGCAGAGGCGCATTTGAACGGCATATACAGAAAATTATCAGTAATAATAGGCAAAAGAGAGCAGGGAAACATTAAGACTTTGGTCGTAAATACATTTCGTGTTTATCTACCATCATTTGATTATCGAAACGTTCCAAGTGCATGTGTTCTGTATAGTAGTAGATGTACAGGTTAGAATTTAGTGGATAATTTAGATGTTAGTAGTACAACGTACACTGTACACTGTAGTAATGTAGCTGCCTAACAAATATAGCGTGGCCGAAATCGCCTGCACGTATTTAAATCTTCCTTATTTGCGTTGACGACGTTCGGTCGGTGGTACGTCAGCTCTTCGCCGCCTAGCAGAATCGCGTCGACAGCCTCGACGCCCTGCATCAGGCTGTGATCTTGGTTGCTGACCTCGTACTTCCAGCCGCCGAAGCGGCCCCTCGAGTAGATCTGAAGCTCTTCGAGCTGCGGCTGAACTGCCTCGAGGAACTTCGTGCGGCCGACGAACGGCGTCGGGTAGCCGTACTCGAGCCGCGTGTGCCAGCGGCTGACGACGTGCGCCGGATCGGGCACGAGTCGCGTGTTCGTCGCTCCGTCGACGGTCGCCTGCACGACGTCACCTGCCAGCGGCTTCTCCGGCGACTCGCTCACCTCCATCATCAGCGACCACTGGCGGCCGGGCTGCGGCACGTTGTTGGGCGAGTAGTGCGAGAAGACGGTGGCGCGGTAGAAGGGGCAGTCGTCCTCGGGAAAGTACAGCCAGCACTTGCCGCGTACGTGCGCCGGCGGCTGTCCGCGCAAGCCGAGGCCGACGATGTGGCTCGAAGAGTGGACGGGAATGTCGGCAAGGGACTTCATCGCCGCTAGACGCGAGCCGCTGAGCAGTCGCAGCGTGCTGTCGAGCGGTGCCGTCGCGACGAGCGCGTCGTAGGCGAGCGTCTCCCCCGAGCGCAACTCGACGAGTTTCTCGTCGGCGTAGATTCGCACGACCTCGCTGCTCAGTCGGCAGTTGTCGGCCGGCAGGTGATCGTAGACCGCCCGCCAGATGGCGCCCGTGCCGCCGTTCTCCGGAAAGGAAAATTGCGAGTTCGGACCCCAGGCGACGTCGTCTCGATTGGAGGCGATGTTGTCGACGATTCGCTTGACGTCGACCTTGGCAACGCGCTCGCCCACCCAGTCGGCGGTCATCGCCGACGGCCTGTAAGCCCACACCTTGAAGTTGTACGGATTGAGAAACAACCTGGCGAGACCCTTCCCGAAGTTCCTGTCGATCCAATCCTGAAACGTCGCCGGTTTCGTCGGCGTCGGCGTCGGCGTCGCCTGCTGCTGCGCGTCGATGAGACCTTGCAGACACGATTCCCGCTCAAGCGGCGGCAGCCGATGTATGTTGTTCTGCAGCGGATACGGAATGAATCGGTCGCACATCCAGACGTACGCCTCGCGCCGGTGATGCAGCCAATCGGGAACGAAAGTCGTGATGACGTCGTCAAAGTATTTGTAGTGCGAGAAGATCACGTGACCGCCCATATCCCAGAGGAAGCCATTGTCGTCTCTCACTGAGGAGGCTAATCCTCCCGGCTCACTAGCGCCCTCTAGGAGCAGCCAGTTACGATGGCCCAACTCGTGCAGTCGAGTGGCAGCTCCAAGACCCGTTGGACCAGCGCCTAGTATCACGATTCGTTTATCCATGAAGGCTAATGCGGACAGGTATCAAATTGATATAAATGAAAAATTCTGAAAAAGGAAAGCATGAAAAACAAAAAAACGATACACGCGAACATGCACGTAGGTGCACACAAACACACGCACAGCCGCGTACGCGCACGCACACACATACACCAGCGCATACGCACAGTAGAAGATTGGAAGGAGAGGAAGGGTCGGAGGGAGGGAGGACGGGAGGAAATGCGGACTGGAAAAAGAGAAGGAGCGGCGAGGCATGGAGGGATGCAAGTGCCAACGAAAAATTGTGAGAACGAGTATAGCAAAATACATATACTAAATCAGTTATCATCGTGTATCGAAAAAAAACAGGAAGCGATTTGTTGGTACATACCGCGGACTTCGCCGTCTTGAATGAACAAGCACAACCTTCTAACAGTGCGGTCAGTACGGTAGTAACACCACCGCTCTCCAACAGGCCAGTAATCATGGTATGTGGTAAAACCGGTTCAAAAAACACCAGTTACGGGTATATAGTCACGTTATATTGTGATCGACGAGGCAGAAGTCTTAATCCAGATACAGTTTCGGAACAAAACCTAGAGCTAACAATAGTTAATCATATTTCGTGATATCTTACAAGGAGATTCACCACAGTCACATTATTGAGCCTAGTAAGAACACATATATCATATACGCATGCACGCACGTACTCCCACGTACACTCATGCACCTACAGCATAGATATAGAAAAGGAAATATCTATTCTATCCTACACGCATTTGTACGCACCTACGCCCTCGTATATGTACGGCCACGCACGTATACGCGCGCGTACTTAAGTAAACGCGCGCGCACCCTACATGGATGTACGTCTTCGTACACGCACGATGGTTTTATTCACTGTCGCCCGTTTCTTGATGAAGACACTCGTAATCTGAGTCTTAGTCTAATATTTCAGGATCTCCTTTTCTCTGACAGGCGTCTTTGATCCCTGTGTTTTCATGGACTCAACTAGGCGGATAGACTCTACACTGCTACCTATGCCGTACTTCTTGTTTTTCTGTAAATATAAACGCAATGCATTAATTATGCGTCCGTTTTGCACACGCAGCCACATGAATGCGCACGCACACTGCAATATGATACACGGACACGCTTACGTGCGCACGCGTACACATGCATACATGCACGTGCACACGAAAGCACGCCCAAGCACACGCACACACACACACACACACACACACACGCACGCACGCACGCACGCACGCACGCATGCACACACGCACGCATGC